CGTGAAGCCTTGGTTTTTCGGCGTTGGGTGCCCCAAAGCAGGATGGAGATGGATAATGTGGTGGATCCCAGAATCCCGGAAAACATAAGCAGCGAGAACGAGCCCTGTGAATAAAAGACAAAAACAAAACAAAACAAAACAACCCCTTCAAACAGCATTACGCCAAGGACTACCGTATTTGCCGGCGTATAAGACGATTTTTTGGCGCTGAAAAATATGCCTCCAAGTGGGGGGTCGTCTTATACGCCAGGTACACTTCAGATAGACTGCCCATAGTGCTTGCCCGGTGCTATAGTGGCCTCCCGATGCCCGCCCACTTCATTCCACATACCGTTCAGGCATCAGCAGCGCTGCTGGGTGTATGCTCGGCTGTTATGCGATTTTGCTGTTATGCGATTTTACCACACTCGCAAAATCGCACACAGCCGACCATATAACAAACTCTGTATTTTGAGTGGAAATGTTAGAGGGTCGTCTTATACGCCGAGTCGTCTTATACGCCGGCAAATACGGTACATTCTAACACCCAGTTCTTCCCTAGTATATCTATCTCCTCACCCAGGGCAATTCTCTTGAGTTTCCTTTTCTAGGTGATTTGCATCAGCACCTGGTCTTATGGCTGTTCTTTCTGAGAGGTTCTTGCTCTATGGATTTCTCTTATCCCTAATTAGAAGGCCTGACTCCTCACCTGGCGCATACACTTGTAGCCATGGAAGCCATCAGCACAAACACACTGAAAAAGACTTGGACCATCAGGCACACATGATCCATTCTCAGGACATATTTCTAGGAGACAGAGGGGAACAGACAACATCACTGGATCTCATAGGTGTGTTTCTCAAATATCTGCTTCAACTTAGGTTCTCTCAATTTTTTTTTTCTAGGTCAAAGTAGAGAAAGAAGATTACAGGTAATCAGAACATAACAATAATCATAAAATATATTTTAAGGCCTTTTCTTCCCAAGGGGTTAGAGACTCAGAAACCTGAAAAGCCAAGTAAGCAACTTTGCTGTTTTTCTGATCTAAAGGGGAGAACACAAAGGAGGAAAGGCAGTTCCTAGGAGGGTGGAGATGAAATAGCAGACCTGTGTTCCTGGTGCTATTGCAAAGGTTCCTTTGCCCTTGGCAGGTTTTGCTGTTTGTATAAAATGTGACAGTATTCCAGGCATTTGTATCTCCAGGACAGTTGACATCTTGTGGTAGTATCCTGAACACAACACAGGCAGTCATAATTTGCAGCCTAAAGTTGCTAAGCTCACAGCATTGCCCCTCTTTGATTCTCTCCCCAACTCCATACCCTTACTCACAGAGTTTGGAGCTGGGTAAAGCCACGGAAGGTGTTGGCCAAGTCATCCTTGAGGGGGTTTGCTTGCAGGTCTCTGAAAAGGACACAGTGTTAGCACTGTACTCTAGGAAAACACCTTACTTTCATTCATACATCTTCCCGTACTGGTAATCCAGTTCTCATTCTGAGTTATCCAAGTGTAGACATTAGTATTCAAACATCTTTTTATAAGTTCCTCCTCAAAGACTTTCCCATCAACCCTTTGCTATAGTCACCTTTGGGTAGGGAGGATAACTAACCACTTACATGATGATAGCAGTATGTGCCTGAGGAAAGTTTGGACCAGGGTCCTTCAGAGAACAGTTCTGGAGATCCAGCCTGATGAAATAAGGTAATCAGTGTAACTATGTGTCTCTCCTCTTTATCCATGGTAAGCTAATGCTACCCCTTTTCTGTTAATATTAGTTGAACACAGCTGTGTTCAGGGCCACAAACTAGGTGCTATAGTAGATGTTTTAAATCTGCACAGTCCAATTTAGTCACCATTAGCTACATGTAGCTATTTAAATTAATTTAAATAAAAAAAAGTCAGTCCCTCATTTGCCCATTTCAAGTGTTCAGTAACCACTAACATGTGGTTGATGGCTACTGTAATGGAAAGGACAGATATGGAACATTTGCATCATGGCAGGAAGTTCTTTGCATCTGTACATATATTGGAAATTTGTTTCTTGTCTAGGTTAGTGAATCTCACATTGTGATATGATTCTCAGATCCACAAAGGACTTTCAAATGGAGAAAAAAATTCAAATCACAAAGTTTTTTCCAAGTACATTTTCTACCACAAATTGGATGCAAACTACTGGATATTAAGGATCATGCCTCATGGTCCTGCTGTCTATTCTTTTATTCTATAAATATTTACTGAGTGCCTCCCAAATTCAAAACCTTGGAGAAAAAAAACAAACAAACACCCCAAGTATCTTAGCTTTCAAATGGTTTATAATGTAGTGGGGAACAAGACCATCACCAAAAATAAAAATAATATAAACATTAAATTACAATACGAAAGAAATCACAGGACAGTATATAAATTTGAGTGGTACACTACGGATTAGTGGAAGTAAAAAAAATTAAAAATATTACTCTGGTATTTAGTAGTAGGGGGAATTCACAAAAGATTTAAAGTATAGAAATCACAAAAGATTTAAAGGAATTAAAGGCTAGATATGCCCTAATTTGGTGGAGGAAGCCAATTTCAGGTAAGGAGAGAGACCTAAACAAAGAACTAAAGGTACAATGTTTTTGGAGGTAAGCCAAAGCTAGACCCTCATGAAGGGTTTGAGTGGACAAATAATTGGAAATCTAATTTAAAAGCTAGACAGTGAAAAAATTGGTTTTCAGAAAGTTTAACATAGAGAAGTATTTAGGTAGATTAGGGAAAGAAGAGAGTGAAAGCAAGACATACAATATTTTGAGTTTGAAGTGAGGGTACAATCAAGAGAAAATGTTTAATAGGAAGCTAGAGGTACCCATAGGTACCTGGAGCTTGTAGAGAATCAAAGAGATCTAACCACCCACATGGTTATAGTTGAAGCTATAAGAATAGGTGGAGTCTCATGAGTATAAATGGAGAAAATGCAGGGATGAACCTGCATAAGGGGAAAGGAAGAGGAATTTGCCTCAAAGACAAACATGAATTAGGAGAAGAAAACCATATTAGTATAGTGTATTGGAGGCTAAGTGGGTCATTTCATGGAGGCACACAGTAAATCCAGACTTAATAAACAAAAGAACAAAGCTCTTTTTAAAACAAAGTCATAAAAGCCTTTTTTAAAAAACAGACAAATGGACTGGCCGAGTGGTGCGTTGGTTAAGAGCTGGCTTGGGACACCCGCTCTTGAGCAGCAGGGCCCCAGTTCGGATCCCACATGTGGGCCAGAGCCCTCTACAGCTAAGATGGTGAACAATGCACCTGGAGCTGGGCTGCCGAGAGTCGTGGCGACGGCCTAGGCTGCAGTGGGCTCCCGTAAGTTACCGTGAGTGGCCGGCAGCCAGGGTGAGCTGCCAAGAGCCGCCGTGAGCAGCCATCCAGAGGCCGGCGACCCATCTGCCTCACCCAGGAAGAGCGCAATGATCACAATATCAACATGGGCCAGTGAAGCAACATCCTCCACAACTAGACTGAAGAACAAAAGGACAGCAACTTGTCTGTTCCTCTTCCCCAATTCCCCAGCGCTGTTCCCCTCCCCCAATTCCCCAATAAAAAATCTTTAAAAAACCAAACCAGGCAAAAATTATGATTTTTATGTAGTTTCAACCTGCATGAACCACAGGATTGTTTACCTAGCCAAAAATGCTATAACAGATTTAAAAGTCTGAGAATCATGGTTCAGATGCCTCCAAAACAGGCACAAATATTTATCCCAAAAGCCAATCCGGCAAGCTTTGACGAATCCGGGTTGGGAACTCTTTTCCAGTATCCAGGGATGTCTTCTCCCTCACCCCAGGATGGTGCCCTTCTGATTCAGGCAGCAGCGAGCATACAACATTAGCCCAGGTGTCTGCTTACAATAAAGGGCCACTTCTGACAAATTTCGCACACTCCCTGGACACTGGATGCATACCTGCAGAAGAGAGAAAACTATTAGGACTCCAGAAAGAAAGCCAAGACAAGAATAAACAGGGATCAAAAGTTAACTGCCAGTACACCTCTCCAGAATTCCGCTGACACAGTGCAGAGAAGTGTCCTACTTTATATCAGGTTTGACTAGATACTTCCCCTAAAACCAGGTACCAAATCAGCTCACCAGACCTCACCCAGAGAAGGCCCTCATCTTTGAGGATCGCTATTCAAGTATATTTTATTACGTTCTCTTCAGTGACTTCTCAATATGACAGCTCTGGTTTGGCAGGGCTGACTGCAGGTACACAAAGAGCTCATCTGCATTACAAAAAGTACACAGTCTTGCCACCTCACGATATACATTTGTGCGTGGAGACTTTGCAAAAGAGCCAGAGGACTCGTTTGTAGAAAGAACAACTTCAAGTTATTCAAAGATTAGGAGCGAGGAGGTCCAAGTTCAAACGTCTTTGGACGTGGGCAGAGCGAGGGCCCCGGGAAAGCTGCGCGGCGTGAGTAACCGGGAGCTGGGGCCGGCTGGGCTACCCCGCGCGGAGGCCTCAGGGATGAAATCGGAGCTGCGGGCCCGCGGGAGAGAGCCGTGGGCCCGCGGGAGAGAGCCAGCCGTGGGAGGGCGAGCGCGACACACGGCTGGCCTAGTAACGCTGCTTCAGTCTGAGCTCTAACTTGCTCCTGTACCTCGGGTAGCGCCAGAGCCCTTTCCACACCAAGAAAGAGGAGCAGGGTTGCAGCCCAGGACACCCGGATCGAAGGACTGCCAGGCCCGCAAGGGGACATTTTTCCGCTCCCTTCGTCCTTCACTGCAGCTCGCGAGACTTGCGCACGTGGCTCCGCCCCCCTGGGCGTGGACTAGTGGTGCGGGCCAGTTGGCCCGGGGCGGGGGGAGGGGAGGTTGCTCCGCTTGGTGCGGTTAGGGCTCTTCCTTGTGCGCCCCAGTCCTCGTTAGGGGGAACTGGCCGGCCCCCTGCCCTTTCTCCCCTTTAGCGAAGGCCTCCCCGCTGCCGATCTTTCAGCCCTGCGTCCCACGCGCGGGGACGCCGAGGTCGCGTCTCAGGGCCCAGTACGTCTTCCCTCAGTAAACATGGAGGGGCGGGCAGGGGGCGGGGCGCCTGTCAGCCGGCCTGCGCGTGCTGTGGGCCGGGTTCTAATGCCGCGGCCGGACCCGTGCGTGGAGACCCCTCAGGTGGGTCCAACGGGGGCGGGCGGGAATGGTGTGGACCTGTAGGTACAAAGAGGCTCCGGGGAACCGCAGCAGAGCGGACGGGGGGAGGGACGGGAGAAGAGGGTCAGGCGAGCCGGTCTCCCGCGTTGGGGGCCCGGGAAACTCTTAGGTGCGCGGCGAGAGGCGGTAGTGCTCCGGCCACCTCGCATTTGGAGGGAAGGCAGGAAACCAGGGAATAAAGAGGGTGAGGGGGATGGAGGAGTGAAGGGCAAAGGACAAACCCCGGCGGTAAGAGACGATCCTGTGGACTCCCCGGGCACCCTGTCCCGTTCACCTCCGTCCTGAGACCACGCGGCGTCCGGAGCCCTGGAGAGGGAGGTAGGAGCCGGATAAATGCTTCCCTATCTCATCTTTTTTTTTTTTTTTGCCTTCCCAGAAAAAGGGACCGATGCTGATCTCAGAAAGAACGACGGGACCTTCTTAGCTCTGGCTGAGTCACGGAGGTGAGGGGAAGGCAAGCATAGTCCCTGGGTGACCCGGGGCCGTGACCCAAAGGTGCGGGTCGGGGATGGGGAGGCCGCACCTGGAGGGACTGAGCATTAAGGTCTTAGAGATTCAAATTAGCATTAAAATTAAAACTTAGCATTAAGTTTTAAATTAAAATTGGCAATTTAGTGAGGGCCCCCCAAAGCCTCTCAGACATGGAGGAATTCTAGGCACAAGGACAGAATCTTTTTGGGACGGTTGGCCCTGCTGTGGCCGCTTTTGCCTTTTGTAGGAGCCAAAACCAGTGCAGTTTATGACCCAAGTGAGGGTGGGGGTAGGGTGGTGGAGAAAGAGTCTCTTGGTCTTAGACGTTTTTATTATAAAATGGGTCCTACCCTTTTAAAAAAGCCAGCTAGTTGTGCCCTGTGTGGAACAACTCCGCTCTTACTTTGGGTTCCCAGTTTCTCAGAGAGATGCAAGTCCATAGGGTTTAGATCAGTATAGAGTTTTTAAAAAGCCACCAACCTGTTCTTAGAATCAAGTCTGAGGAAGGCTTTGTTACCGGGTCAGGTTTTTCCTGTCTTATCTAAATGGTTCTGTCTTTAGCCATCTCGGGGCGGTCTCTACACCTCATGCAAATAGAATTCTATCTGGAAGCCCTGCCAGTTTACCCAGAGGGTCTCCAGTTCTGTACGTCTGTTCCAGTCTATACTGGGACCTCTCTTTCCCCAACTACCTGCCTATCCATAGCACTAGCCCGTTACCACTTCACATTCTTATTTGCACACAGCGGACATCTCTCTTGTATCCCAGTAGTTCCCATCACCTCTGTCATAGTAGTGAACATTTGCCAGAGGACTGAGAACACTTGAGATGTTGCAATGTACAAAGGCCCAGGGCATCTTTCGGTTAAACCAGAGTGGCTTGTTGGGAACATTGTTCTGGGAACTTACGTTTGTGACCTTAGAACATGTGATCCAAGAGTTGCCAGCTCTGATTCCCTGTCTTCATTGGCCCCAGGAGGTTCCCAGTTTAGGTTTTGTCTGCATGAGGCCATATCATTCCAGCCAGGCAACATCTGCCCAAAAACACAGTGTGGGAGAGCTGGGAGACAAGCAGGCTGATCTTGCTCCTTGTGGGCAAGAACAGAAGGCATAGCTTCTAATGATCTGTGTCTAGATTAGTTGAAATATAAACTTTGTTTCATGACTGACTGACTACAGTTAACATTCTGCCTGTGCCCCGGTTCTGGGAGTAGTAAGGAGTGGGCCCCTGGTGAATAACCTGTCATACCTGCAGGTAGAACTGTCCCTTTCTCCCATGTTTTGTTTCATGCTGTATAACCTTAAGCACGTTATTTAGCTTCTCTCAATCTTAGTTTCCTAGAGAATGTTCATGTAAAGTGCATAGCCTGAGACATGGTATTTTGAGAGTGATAGCTATGGTTACTTCTTCACTTATTTTAATTATTATTTTTTTATTTATTATAATTACTTATTATTACTAATATCCATCAAGTACAAACGTACTGCTGGGTTACATAGCAGGTGTTCAAAAATGTTAACTGTCATCATGCTAGGCTCTCTAAATACATGGCACTCTCTGTTATTTTTTTCCCATACCAATAAGAACCCCAGGGGATAGTCTCTAAAGACAGTATGGTATTAGTGGAGAGTGTATGGATGGGGAATCACTAGACCTGGGTTCTAATCTGGCCTCTGACAATAATCAGCTCTGTGGTTTTGAAAAGATCACTTGAGTCTTTTAAGCCTCAGTGTCTTTGTCAGTAAATGAGGGTATTGTCATAGTGACTCTTAAGATTCCTTTAAGTTTTGAAAGACTAGGATCCTGTCCTTGTTCTAGAATAATAGTATATTCTTTGAGGATTAGTATTTCGGTGCAGGAGTCAGAAAAGCTACTTTTCCATCTTCGCTCAGCCCCTCCTTTCCAGTCCCTTCTAGTACACTGTGCCAAGTGGATTAGGAAAGCCTAATCCATCCAGGAATGTTGTTGGATGTGAGCTCCCTGCTCCCCATTCTGGAGCCTTTAGGGCAGAGCTGGAGTTTGAGGACCATAGGGTGATAGGGCCATTTAGAGCACAGTGATTGGTTCCCTGAAGAGGCCAGAATGAATAGCTGCTGAGTTTCACTCCGCCCCACCTGATCTCACCTCAGCCACTTACAGAACCAGACACTCAGCCTCTGTCTAGTTCCAGACACACACAGCTTCTCCAGGCAGCTCTGCCTCAGAACAGGGATTGCTTCTCTGGGTAGGTATTTGCCCCAGCAGGATAAGACCACTTTCCCTGGCCCTTCCTCTTACTCCAGCTCCCTGGCTTGTTTGCTTCTCCCTAAAATGCTCCTGAAATCATAATTCTGAACACCTGGCTCCAGCACGTTGCCCTCTCACTTTTGAATCCCACCGCTCTCCCCAGATATGCTGTTGATTGTGGTGTTACAGATAGAACAGCTGAGAGGTATGTGGCAGGGTTCGTCTGGTAGTGTTGAGGAGAACGGAGTGGAGTTTGGGGGTGCCGTGGAGGTGATCTCATTGGGAATCAGTGCTGAGAAGGGGTGCTGTTAGCAAGGTGAAACTGGGGATCATGGAAGGTGGGGGCTGAGGCCAAGGGGAATAGAGGAAGCCATGCTGTTTTAGTCTCCATTTCTTCTTCCCCGCTGGGCTGTGGCGCCAGGTTGTGCTCTGCTGGCTTAGTACGTTGTAGTGACTGGGTCTGTGCCTGCAAGTGGGGGCAGGGAAGTCTTCGAGAAGAAACATGGGCTAGAGTTGATTTTTCTTTCATTCTGGGGTGGAGACCTAAGAAGGCTGTTTCACAGCTATGCTCGTTCAAACAGGTCTTGGCCAAGTAGTTATCTCCTGGTTGTCGCACTCTGCTGCTTCCCCCCTCCCTTTCTTCCTCTACCAAATCCATACCAGGACCTCCAGATCTTCAAGGGCTGCCACTGAGATGGCTGGTCTGGTTTGGTGGGTGTGAGATGCACGGGCCTGAGGGTGGGTGGCCATCAAGGCAGGACAGGCCTTGACTAGGAGCTGATTCCTTTGCAGGTCACCCTGGACAATGTCACTTGGAAAAGGAGGACTGTGAGACCTTGGCTGAGAACCAGGTTGTAGCCACTTGCCTGCCACTGCCCAGCTAAGCGTCAGCCCAGAGCCCAGGAGCAGCAAGTGACTACAGGTCATAGACACAGTGAGGACATGAGTGTGGGAGTGACCACCTCTGCTCCCCTCCCCCCAACCTCAGGCACACGCATGGTCACGTCTGCCTTCTCCCTCGAGGACTACGTGGTCTTCGTCTTGCTGCTGGTTCTCTCCCTTGCCATTGGGCTCTACCATGCATGTCGTGGCTGGGGTCAGCATACCATTGGCCAGCTGCTGATGGCAGACCGCAAAATGGGCTGCCTTCCTGTGGCGCTGTCCCTACTGGCCACCTTCCAGTCAGCTGTGGCCATCCTGGGTGTGCCATCTGAGATCTACCGATTTGGGACCCAGTATTGGTTCCTGGGCTGCTCATATTTCCTGGGGCTGCTGATTCCTGCACACATCTTCATCCCTACCTTCTACCGCCTGCATCTCACTAGTGCCTATGAGGTGAGCCAGGGCAGAAGGGTGGCACGTATAGGACCCTCAGGGTCAGGGATGGAGAGGAGGAACAGGGCACATAGGAAAGATCTGGGACCCTGGATTGCCTCTGCCTGATGAGAGTGACAGGGACCACATGGTGTGTTTATATGTTCTTTGCGGATGAGGTCAGCTGGGCAGAAAAGGAGGGTGCTGTGCTGAGTGGGGCTCAGAGTGAATATGAATTGGATATTCCCTTTTGTTCCTGAACCTCTGGAGGGAAGTTGTGTGTAAATTGTGGGGGGTGGAGTGGAAAAGAATACTTTTTTTTTTTAAATATTCCTACCTAGTACCTGGAGCTCCGATTCAATAAAACCGTGCGGGTGTGCGGGACCATGACCTTCATATTTCAGATGGTGAGTGGGGTGAAGCTAGGAAATGAGCCTGAGGTATGGGAGGACGACCTGAACTCAGGCATGCTGAGGCGGCTGAGGCCTTCTCTACTCTCAGACTGGCAGGATTGAAATCCCTGCTAGGCATTGGTGTCACTGAAGCCCCCGGAGGCATTCTGTTTTCCATTCCTTCCAGTTCCAGCACAGACACTAACTGTGGTAGCAGCAAGCCAAAATTTGGAAGAAGGGAGAGGGAAGTGAGCCTTAGGTGAAGGGATGCCCTTGGGATATTGGAGCTGAGGTCCATCTTCCCTCCTCTCTCTGCCCACTCTCATCTCCTCTCCCCCTCACACTCTCTTTCCATACCCAACAGGTGATCTACATGGGGGTTGTGCTCTATGCACCATCATTGGCCCTCAATGCAGGTGAGGAGTCATAGCCCCTGGCTCCCAGCCCCGGTAGGCTGGGAAAACAGCCTTTCGGAGGGGCACGTAGAGGAGAGTGTGCAGAAAAGAATCCAGCTTTGGACTGGGAATGATTTCACTGCATGGCCCTTGGTTGGTCTATACCAGAGGTGGAATCAGGCTTGTTTCACTGCACTTGAAAGCCAATCAAACATTACTGTGCCCTATCTGAAATGATTAATCACCACCTTTTGGTGGAGCTCTGCAAACATTTTTTTTTTCCCATTGTGGCGAATGATTTGTTTCATCCTTAATGACCAAATGCTTCATATCTTACCAGGGCTTCTCTGGCTTCTCCACTGGGAAACCCTGTTCCAGAGACGGAAATGTGACTTTTATCTCTTTATAGTGACTGGCTTTGATCTGTGGCTGTCCGTGCTGACCCTAGGCATTGTCTGCACTGTCTACACGGCTCTGGTAAGTGTAGTAAGTCTTAGGGGAGGGAGGAGAAGAGATGAAGTGAGCAGGGGAAATGGGAAGAAAAGGAAAAGAAGGGTTGAGATAAGAAAGTAGGAGGGGATGTGATAAGAATGTAGATGAGAAGATGGGATGAAATTCTAGGGTGGAATGAATGAAATGAGATGTAGGAGATGGGATGGGATTATGGCAGGGGAATGGCACAGGAAGGTAGGAGACTGGGTGGGAATGATGACAAAGGGTCTCAGTAATTACGTCCCTGGCAATGATATATTGCTCTTGCTGGTGGTATGGTGTCCTCACTGATGGATGGTTTTGAAGACATCTGTGTCAGGCATGCCCTTTTCTTTACAGGGTGGGCTGAAGGCAGTCATCTGGACAGATGTATTCCAGACACTGGTCATGTTCCTGGGGCAGCTGGCAGTTATCATCGTGGGGTCAGCCAAGGTGGGCGGCTTGGGGCGTGTGTGGGATTTGGCTTCCCAGCACGGCCGCATCTCTGGGATTGAGTAAGTACACCCCTTCCCCTGGCTGGGGTCTCTCGTGCTGTGGGAGCTGAGCACATCCTAGAGCCTGAGCTCTGGGCTATCGTAAGCAGAGGGCAAGCTGTGGAAGCCTTAGGTGCAGCACTGAGACAGGTGGGAAGCTGGCACTGCAGAAATGGAGGCTGATCTCAGGGGTCCAGCTGGTGGTTAAGGAGAGTCAGGACGTTTTTAGTACCTGGAATGAGGTTGTGGGTCAGAAGAATGGAGCCCTCCCTCCAACTTGCTGCACTGTCTCTTGAGTCCATCCAGTTCTTGCTTTCAGTAGCTCCTTGGCCCTCGCCATGGTGTCTCTGCTCTCTTTTGACCCCTGTTGTAGGAGGGTGAGGAAGTCTGAGTCTCTCTCTGGAGCTATGACCAGGTGGCATTTATTGCAGGCTAGATCCGGACCCTTTTGTGCGGCACACTTTCTGGACCTTGGCCTTTGGGGGTGTTTTCATGATGCTCTCCTTGTATGGGGTGAACCAGGCTCAGGTGCAACGCTACCTCAGCTCCCGCACAGAGAAGGCTGCTATACTGTGAGTGCTGGGACAGCAAGACTGGGGAGCAGAGCTGGGGGAAGAGAGTAGCCCCGGTTCCACGGAGGCAGTTGGGGTGGGGGCAGGCTGTCAGAGCACAGACACCCCCATTTGGGTCAGGACATGAGTCTGCTTTCTGGGGCTCAGGGATGTGGTAAAGGTATCTGTTAACCCTCTCTCCCCTTGGCCTTGGCCTCTTTTGCAGCTCCTGCTATGCAGTCTTCCCTTGCCAGCAGGTGGTCCTCTGCATGGGCTGCCTCATTGGCCTGGTCATGTTCGCCTACTACGAGGAGTATCCCAAGAGCCTCCAGCAGCGTCAGGCAGCCCCTGACCAGGTGAGAGGGCCTCCCTAGCCCTCTCCTGTGCCCAAAAGGGGCCAACCAGGGTCCCGCAACAGGAGTGTCTGGGTGGCTGCAGAAAGGACTCCCACCCTGGGCAGGAAGTGGATTTAAGTTCTTTCCCACTCTGGGACTCTAGTGATCTAAATGTGAGGATCCCAGCCCCCAGCACCACCTAATCACAGTGCTCACCCTGCTGTGATTGACTGACCCTCACTGACTTACCATCACCACTATGTACCATGTGACCTGCTAGGAGCTGTCACCCACCTGGGGTCTCATCTAACCCTCCCAGCAGCCTCGTTTTACGGAGAAAAGAGGCTCAACAGGTGGCCAGCGTGCCCAGGTCACACTGCTAGTCAGGTTGGAGCTGGGGTATGAACTGCATCTTCTTTCCAAAGCCCAGCTTCTCTCCACTTACTGTGGGGTCACCCCTAGCCTGGTCCCTCTTCCTGATGCATCAGGCTGGCGGGGGCATGTGCAAGGGGCCTTCCCACATGCCTCCCTCGCTCTGGGGAAGGGCTCCCCTCTCAGGAGAGCTGTGTACTTCTGCTCTGCCTGCAGCTCGTCCTGTATTTTGTGATGGATCTCCTGAAAGACCTGCCAGGCCTGCCTGGACTCTTTGTTGCCTGCCTCTTCAGTGGCTCCCTCAGGTACCCTCTTCGACCATTTCCTTCACGGTTGGTGCAGCTGACCTCTACTTGGTACAGGCTGACCGGTAGAGGAGGGGTTCCCTCTGAATTTCTCAGTGTGTCCATCCATCTGTGAATGATAAGGGACAGTTCACCTGTGTAGGATGGCATGTCCTATCCCAGGAGATGCCCCTTTTTTGATGAAGCATTCTTTTACAATACTAGGAGTTGATCTGAACAAAACCTGTACCCCACTCAGAAAAGGACAAGTGTCCTTGCCTTCCAGGCCTTTTCCTTGGCTGCCAACCGTGAAGGTGATTTCTTGGCTGCAGGTGTCATCTCCTACCTTCAGGGCGCCATTCCCTCAATAGAGTCCCTTGTTAGTTTTGCTTCTCTCGGTGCAGCTTGTCGTTCTCCTTTTCCTTTCAGCACCATATCCTCTGCTTTTAATTCGCTGGCAACTGTTACGATGGAAGACCTGATTCGACCCTGGTTCCCTGAGTTCTCTGAAGTCCGAGCCATCATGCTTTCCAGACTCCTTGGTGGGATTATGCTTCCTCATCTCTACAGCCATGTTTTTCTAAGACACACCCTAAGCACTGTCATTAGTCTGCTTTACAGCACCAGCTTTTGCCTGGGCTCAGCACTTGCCGAACGAAGCACACAACCTTGTTTACAGTTCAGGGCACTTCCTGGGGAGGTCTCTGAGTCATATAGGAATGAGGACAGGGTGGGAGGGACCTGGAGCTGGGGCAGCATGAGAAGCATTCTGTTTCCAGGGACACAGAGATAGTGATTTGGCTGGGGAAGGAACTTTGCTCTACTTTCCCCTTTTTTAGTATGTTAATTCACATTTTATTTTCTCCCCTCTTTTTCCCCAGCCTGTGGTTATGGGCTGCTTTGTTTGGGAATGGCCTACATTTCTTCCCAGATGGGACCTGTGCTGCAGGTAATGACCATGGAGGCAAGAAAGCAATTTTTAGGGGCAGAAAGGAGCAGATTGAAACAGGAAATTGAGGAAGACAGCTATGGTGAAGGGAATGGCATGGGGGCAGGTGTCAGAAATTCCCCTTGGGTGGACTACCTTTTGCTGTGAACAGACCCAAGTAGCCAGAAGCCCCAGGGTCATTCCTGGGACATTGTTGACTCAGAGAGCTCTAAGGATCAACCTCGGAGGAGAACCCAAACCATGTTCCCTTACCCATCCCTGCCCTCTCAAATCCTGCAGTCTGTTGGTTCCAGATAGATGAGACAGGCAGACAGATCTGATGAGAGGGCTCTGAGGCAATGTCAGCGAGGCTGGTGGGCTCTGAGCCTGTGTGTTCTCCCAACCCTGTCCTCCCCCAGGCAGCAATCAGCATCTTTGGCATGGTCGGGGGACCGCTGCTCGGACTTTTCAGCCTAGGGATGTTCTTTCCTTGTGCCAACCCTCCGGTGAGTGATCCGTCTGGCTCCACAGTCACATACATGCAGGGGTGGGCCTGCGGGGTGGCTTGGCAGGGCTTTCACCCTGAGTGCTGGGAACTGGTGTGAAGGTTTGGTGGGGCTGGCATTGTGACAGGAGAGTGCGCTGTGTCTGTGGGCAGGGTGCCATTGTGGGCCTGCTGGCTGGACTCGTCATGGCCTTCTGGATTGGCATTGGGAGCATAGTGACCAGCACGCGCTCTAGCACGGCACCCTCACCCTGGAATGAGTCCAGCACTTCCCTGCTCAGCAATCTGACCACCGTCACCATGACCACGCTGATGCCCTCAACCACCCTCTCCAGGTGAGTTGGGCCTCACTGTCTTTCTCCTTGGGGAGAATAGCTAACTTTTGAGGGGCTCCCCAGGGTCTTTGCTAAGGAATGAGCCACCAGAAGCCTCAGGAAATGTTGGGTGTTGGATCCTAAGACCCTAGAACTGTGCAGGTGGGTGGAGCCAGGTGGCCAAGGAACCCCCTGCCAATGAATTGCTAATTGTCCCCACCTCTCTGCTCTCCCCAGGCCTGCAGGGCTACAGCGGCTTTATTCCCTGTCATATTTATGGTACAGCGCTCACAACTCCACTACAGTCATTGTGGTGGGCCTGATTGTCAGCCTGCTCACTGGTGAGGGGTGTGTGGGATGAGGGCACAGAAAAACAGGATGGGCTGAGGGAGGGTGCTCAGGGGATCTGGACTTTGGGGAGAGACATGACCTTGTCCTCTGGGCTCCTGGGTGTCTGCAACTAGTCAGCTTCTTGGCTGAGCTCCAGGAGGTGGGCGGGGGTTGGGGGCTGGGAGCCCTGAGAACACAGGACTTGCTGGGTGTGCAATGGTTACACAGTAAGACTCAGAGGTACCTTGACCTTCAGGGGGAATGCGGGGCCGGACCCTGAACCCTCGGACCATTTACCCAGTGTTGCCAAGACTCCTTGCCCTCCTGCCCGTGTCCTGGCAGAAGCAACTTCGCTTCAAAAGCTATAGTCAGGTAACACCTCTATTATCCAGATCGCCCCCTTCCTTCCCTCTCCAGACTACCACCAAATCTTCCAGGTTTTTTTATCCCTTTTCTGCCCCCCCCCCCCTCAGCACCCTTTGCTCTGATTATTTGCCTGAGCCTGAACCATCACGCAGCAGCTGCCCTGGGTCCCACAGGGGAGCACTGGCGTGGTGTGGGCAGAAGGGGCCTTAGCCTGGAGAGGCACAGAGCGTGCTGGCCTTTCCTCTCCTCTCCCCCTTGTGTTGATCTCCCTTCACCTTTTCTGCATGAGTTCCTCTCCACCCCTTTGTCTCCTGTTCACCCCAACCCTCTCCCTTTGCTCTGTGTGTCCCCAGGACCTCTCTGTGGACACTGCAGTGTTTCCAGAGAAGATGAGTAATGGGATGCTGAAGGGCAGCAGAGACAAGGAGGCCACGGCAGTGGCTGAGGAAGGCCCAGCCCACCAGGGGAGCAGCCCCACCTTCATCCTGCAGGAGACCTCACTATGATCTGGACTCAGGAACCAGCCCCAGAGGCTACCCTGCAGCACAGGAATGAGCCCCTTGTTATGTTCTGCAGGGACAGATGGGGGCTGAATGACCAGATGACCTAGCCCAACCAAAGGACCTTGTTCTTAGGGGTTCGTAGAACACTAGAAGCTGTCAGGTTGCGGGAGGTGTGAGGTTAGGACAGGATTTTGCCAGAAAAGAGGATAGAAGGGAATTCTCTGGGAAAACATCACCAAGTTCCTTTGATTCAACATCACCAAGCTCCTTTGAAGTGGATAGAAACCACAGTGCTGGTTACAACTGCCGTGGGGCCTGATTTGGCAAGATTGACCGTCTCCACCAAAAACTCAAAGCTGCCTTGGCCAGCTGTAACTTCCCTTGCAGTCCCTTCTAAGCACAGATTCTGTCAGCCACAAAGAGCCCCTGTGACTAGTACTTTCAGGTTGTCTGTGACACCCAAACCCCTCATTCTTATCTGCCTACCTCCATTCTTGAGAGGAGGTTTTGGTGTCCCTGGGAGGCCTCTCGGAATAGACAGGTACGTTCATCTCCTTTGTGTAGAGTAAGGGGGAAGCTTTCCATTCCACGTCCCTACCCTAATGGGCACTTGGGGGTGGGGATATTGATACAAGAAAACAGGGCATGACCGGGTCCACTGTGGAGTGTGCCATCTGACTCCTGAGCCATACCACCTTAGTGTCATTGTGTCATTCGTGCTCCTGTTTTCTTTTGGAGTTTCTTCCTCATATCTTTGTTCCTAGGGAATAAAAACTGTCACTGGAGCTAGAATCTGGGCTCCTGTACTGTCTGCAGCTGCTCTTATCCACCCCAGTCCCATCCCTGGTAAGGATAAGAGCCCCTTTTCCCATGCGCATGTCTGCTAAGAAGCAAAGGGGACCTAGCTCTGGCTTGGTGAGGTTTCAAGTCATGCCCTGGCGTGTCTGCAGGGGGCAGCCTTGTGCTTAACAGAGTGGAGGATGCGCTCTCCTCTTTCTGCCTTTACCGTGACTTAGTCTGTCCCCTGTCCTGCCCCCCTTGTCCTTGACCATAACATTCACTGCTCCTCTGAGATCTTCACTTTGGGGGCTAGAGGAAGAATGCTGCCATTTGGCTTTGAAAATGGAACATTCCCAGTGGACTTGTATGGTCTTGTGAAGAGCACAGTGCTCATCCCCACCCACACCTGGTCTCTACTCATTTGGCCCCATCCAGCTGCCCAGAAGCAGCTCTGCACAAGCTCTCCAGGCTCCTCAGCAGAGACTTGGTCCCAGGCAGATCTGCAGATAGTTCCAGAAAACACCAGGTAGACTCTGCCGTGAGGTCTGCACTCCTCTTGGCAGCCCCTTCCCCTGTTGGCTGAGGGGCACTGCTCTTGGCTGACTACCCCACCCCATCAAGCTGTCAGTGTACTGAACTCTCATGTTTCATTCATCTTTTATCCACCAACTACATGCAAGGGCCGTACCTTGGCCACCACTTTACAGAAGAGGAAATGACCCCCCACCCCCCCCAGGACCCTGCACCAGCGGTCACCATTGGCATTTCAGTGCTCCAGCTGTTTTGTCTCAATTTCTTGCATTTTAGCTATATTTGCATAGAAGGGAAAAACCACAGGGCTTGACACTCAAGAATTACGATATTTAAGGGGAAATGGCAAAAAGATTCAATTCTCCATATAAATAATTCAAACTTCATAACAAAACAAAGATGCTCCTTCGTTTCTAACTCAGTAAACTGTTCTTCATGGAGCATTTTAAAAGTGCCATTTAATGATTATGAAGGTGGAATCTAGTGGAGAGACCAGGGTTCATTAATTTAATGTCCTTAAGCTTTCGTTTTTTTATCCATTAAATGTAGATTTCATAGGGTTGTTTAAGGATTCAAAATTATATTTCATGCAAAAGACATGCACTCCTTAAGTGACAGTTATTGTGATGATTATTGTATTTTTCGGAGCACTTTTCAGGTACTACCTGATTTTATGCCTTGGGAGAGAAGTACAATCTCATATCATCTCCATTTTTAATGCACACCATAACTGGATTGCTTGGCTAGTGAGTAGTTGAGGCAGAGCTAGAACCTAGTCAATAACTACCAGTAGCCCACCAAAACTGTATCTCTGTTGTCACGGTAGCAATCTCCTTTTGGATAGGGTGTTCACACAGGTGATGGGTGTCTATTGAGGTGGCAGTCCAGAGAACAATAAGGCACTAAATGGGGTGCTACCATACCATCGCTCTAGAGCCTTTCTATGTTAGTGGCTTTCAAACATTGACTGAGACCCACAGTAAGAATGTGTTTCACACCATGATCCAATACACACATACATTGCATTATGTTACAAAAATATTTCATGAAAAAGTACCTACCTCTGGGTGTAGTTAATGTCTTCTGAGCTCTTTCTCTTCCATTCCCTTCCTGGATAATTCAGTACTAAAACCATTATGTAAAGCAGAGCAAGGGAGGCATTCATGTTGGGGCTGTCTGGTGTGGATGTCAGAGCTCAAGGGAAATGAGGAGAGAGGCCATGCATGGGAGTGGCCCCGCCTGGATGCCATAGTCTTAGCAGGATAAGGAGAGCACAGAGGGGCAACTTGCTATGGGGTGTTAGAGCTCCAGTTGGACAAGGAGTGTGTCCATTCGGGTCCGTAGCCTGGTTTGGGGTTGGAGCATGAGAAAGGCATCCCCACAGGAAAGAAGGCTTGATGTGGGTTGTCAGCTAGAATGGAGTCAAGAGGGAGTCCATTCATGGGGGCAGTCTGACTTAGGGTGTCAGTCTGAGCAGCATGAGGGGGGCATCCAAAAGGGTGGGGGGTGACTTGGCATGGGTTTACGGAGCCTCTGTGTGTGTGTGTGTGTGTGTGTGTGTGTGTGTGTGTGTGTCCTGTGTGTCCCACACGGAGAATCAGAGCCCAACCAGAATGAAGAGGGCACCTACATATGTGAGCAGCCAACTTGGGCTGTTAGAGCCTTGAGTACAGTGAGGAGGGCACCTGTAATGCCTGGCCCACAAACCTTTGTAGGAGGAAGACCTGTGGTCAGGTGGGAGACCAAGTAGGGTGAGGAGGTCATCCACCATGGAGGCAGCCTGGGGTGGGGTGTCAGCCCAAGCAGGGCGATGGAGATGTCCACGCAGGGGACAGCCTAGTGTGGCCCAGGGCAATTTCAGAGCCTGAGTAGGATGAGGAAGGCATATGAGTTATGTGCAAGAGACAGTGATGGGCTTTGACTACATACCGAGAGATTAATCAAATATATTAAGGATAGGGCCAGCCAAATGGCTTAGTTGGTTAAGAGCATGAGCTCTGAGCAACAGGGTTGCCGGTTCGATTCCCACATGGGCCAGTGAGCTGCACCGAGCTGAACTGCCACTGAACTGCCAACAAGTGACAGGATGGTGAGAGCCCGTGCTCCTAACAAGGTTGCTGGTTCGATTCCACATGGGATGGTGGGCTATGCCCACCGGCAACTAAGATTGAACACTGGCATCTTGAGCTGAGCTGCCCTGAGCGGCTGACAGGCGGCCGGATGGCTCAGTGGTTAAAGCCTGCACTCTTAGCAACAAGGTTTCTGGCTCGACTCCCACATGGGATGGTGGGCACCTGTAACTAAGATTGAACACGGCACCTTGAGCTGAGTGGCCGCAAGCTGCCGGCAGGCGGCTGGATGGCAACTGGTCTTGGAGCTGAGCTGGCGGCGCCCTCCACAACTAAGACTGAAGGGCAACAACTTGGCTGTTCCCCTTCCCCAATTCCCCAATAAAATCTTAATATAATGTGAGCCATGTTTCTCACTATTGAAGAAGGGTGTTACACGTTACATGCATGGAAAGGGAGAAAGCAAGAATGAACCTGTGGTGGTGAATTGGAATAGGAGATACTGGCACACGTTCATGGTTTTCAACAGATCTATATAGATGTAGAAATAGGGATGGAAGTAGCTCTGTCCACTGAGGGTTTGGGATTAATAGCAGCCAAATAGCAATAAATGCTTAGTACCTGGATTTTGGATTCTAAGTATCATTCTCCACTAAACAGCAACAACAAAGCCAAACAAAAAACCCCACAGGGCTTCTTGAAAAAATAGTTGATTCTAGGCCTAGGACATCTCATGCCAAAAACAAAGAACTATTCAAGGAACGTTAAGATCATATAAAAAAAAACACAGAAGCTAGTTTGAAGGGACTCCAATTGGCCAAACCTGGGACAATCCGAGCATAAAATAATCATAATGGATTATAATCCATTGAATGAAAAAAGGAAATCCGTGAGTTTATACTGATGAAAGTAATAAGTTGGAATTTAGATGAGGAATGGTATATTTACATAGTTTCAGATACTTCCCTCTGCACAGAATACTTATTAATTACAAGGGGAAAATAATAAGTTTGTAGTGCAGAAGCCGGGCAGGCACCATCTTAATTAAGTGATCAAAATGAACATCATCTGTAACAGGACAATTCAGTGATGCATCATTTGATAAGATACAATGAGAAGAACACAATCACTTCTGTGATACTCGGTCTAAGATGTACAACTTGAATATAATCATAAAAAAAATCAGACAAAATAAAATTTAAAGACATTCTATAAAATAACTGGACTGCAATCTTTACAGGGACTGCAAGGAGAATTGCTTTAGAGCCAAACAGAGCAGCGGGAAAAAAATCTCTGGAAAATCACAGATCAGCTTTCATGTGGATTTGAAGTCCAATTTCACATTGTTCAACAAGGCAGAATTTGGGACTTTGAAAAGAATAATAAAATTCACCAACTCTTCTGGCAAAAAATGATCAAGATAAAAGAGAAAGCACAAGTAATCAATTCCAGAAATAAAAAGGGTATATAAACACAGATATTGTATATATTAAAATGATGGAGATTATGAACAATTTTAGGCCAATAAATTGGAAACTTTAGATATTATGGACAAATTACTAGAAAAGTATCACTAAAATATTCTCGGAAACGATGGAATGTCTGAATAGTCCTATTCCCGTTAGAGAAATAGAAATAGTAGTAAAGAAAAAAAAATCTTATCATGAGGAAAATCCCTGGCCAACATTGTTTCACTGTTGAATTCTAATCTTTCAAGGAATAAATAATGCTAAATTTAAAAAAATGATTTCC